CTCCTTCAGGCCGGCCCGGCCCGGCCGCGCCATGGCCGCTGCTCCCAGCGCGCACGCGCGGAGCGGGTCCCCGCCCTGAGGAGCGGGTCCCCGCCCTGAGGAGCGGGTCCCCGGTTGCGGTGCCGTGCCCCGGGGCGGACGCTGAGACCCGCCGCTTCTCTGCCTCGCTCGGCCCTGGCTGAGAGCAGCAGCTGCACTGCTGGAGACTCGAAGCCAGCAGGGTAGGTGGGCAGCACCCGGAATTCTCCCCCTCACTCGCACCCACCCCGTGTTCACCGACGCAGCCCCCGCCCTTCCCTGTGCCGCTCCTGGGGACCCCCTCCACACCATTTGTCGCCACATGAGGAGGCCTCAGAGAGAACGGTATTAAACACGGCCTTCTCCATGTCAAATCATTTAGCCCTAATACTAGTCACAATCGGAGTAAACCTGTCCCCAGCAGGACACATTTTAACCCACTCATTCTTTAAAGCGATGTTACTCCTCTGCTCAGGATCCACAGCCTGAACAGAGAAGAAGAAAAACAGGAGGCCTACAAAAAATACTTCAACAACCACTCCATGTCTAACCATTGGCAATACAGCCCTCATGGGAACCCCATTCCCAGTAGGATTCTACTCAAAAGAGCTCTTGGAGAGTTTAATCATATCCAGCCTATGCCTTGGCACTACTCCTCGTAAAATGTGGAGTATGTAAAATTTTGTTAAGGTGTTCTTTGCTGTCTGATCTCTGTCCCATTCAAGCCTGATCAACAAGGAGAGAGATTTAATCCGTGAAACAGAGCAGGCCACAAGCGCTAAGTGATGTCCAGCTGCTCGAAACACAAATTCCCGCTCAGCAGAGTTGCCTTGTTAAGGTTTGGGGCCGGACACGTTCCAATGATCTCGGCCCCGGGCGAGGTCAACAAAGCTCGGCCAGAAGGATTTCCACTGATCCACGCGGAATGCAGAATTCCTGGGCCACGAGGACATCGGGCAGAACCCCCAGATAAGGAAGAGACAAATAAAGGAACTCGATAACGGTGTGGGACCAGCTCGGCCTGGCTAAAGGGCAATTCCGGCAGGGGCAGATCAGGACCCCCAAGTGATGGAGCCCCCACACAGGAAAGCACCGAGCCAAAGGAGGAGAGAGATAGAGCAGTAATTAGCACGAGAAGCGAGAGACTCATTAACTCATTAAGAAGAAAGAATACTAATTAATAAGAGAACATTGTAATCAGTAGCCAATGAACATTCATGCCTTTCTTTGCTAAAATATAAAATAGGAAGAAGTATGGATAGTTGGGCTGCTTGATTTGTGGAACACCACCGACCATGCGGCTTGGCAGCTCTGACATAAACAATTAATAGCTCTCTCAAGTGTGCATTTACTGGATTCAATTTGTCTGGACAACAGTGCCATTCCTAGAATTTATATTAAAAATGGGCATTTCTCTGCATCTCTAGACACATTTTCTGTATTTTCTGAGGCATTTTCAGGCAGACTGAGGCAGAAGCCCTGAAGGCACCTGCAGTCAGGAAAATGTGGTAGCATACACTGCCACATGCAGAGATGTGCAGAGATGTTGCACATTATTGCAGTTATTCCTGCTTATGGAAACAAGAACATTGTGAAATCTGATGTGATTCTGTTATGAAGAGCTTTCCATACAGGATCAGCATTGGTTGAACCCTGACAGTGCACAAAAAAGGAGAAAACTTCCACATCTTAAAAAATTTCAACATTTCTGACACTAAGTTTCAATAACAAAAGAGAGATGCTGAAATACCTGCATCATTCACACTGATTTGTTAGTCTGTATAAAGTCCATTATCCTTTTGATACACCTCTCTTCAAGTAACTTTAGTTTTCTGTGTATCTGCTGGAATGAAGTACCCAGCAGTGCATTATTAGATGGAGTGGTTTACATCTTACAGGTGATGTATGACAAAACAGTGCTTCCTCTTTCGTTTCCCACGCACAGCATCTCCAGCAAAGTTCATTTTTCAGGCTTTGTGTTTGCTGTGCCACAGTAAATCCTTCCTTTTGCTGTCATTTCATTGACCATTGCTGTATTTCAGGAACATTCTGTTTCCCGAAATCAAAAGCAGTCTCCTGTTCTTGCTCTCTGCTACACTGCTTAATCTGGACAAACCATAAATTGCAAGAATTAATATTTCAGGCTTAGTTCCAGAATATAGTTCCCATACCTACTATAACATAGCCAAGTGTGTATAGTTTTAAAGTTAAAAATAAGTAATAAAAAAGGGTGTATGAAGGCTGGGAAACTCTTAGAGAACCAGGTACCCCATTCCCCTTTTTCTGCCCCACTTTCCCAAAAGTGTTCCTACTAAATTCCTTCTACCCCCTTGGCCATCTTGGCTCCTGTTTGATTCAAGCTTTTTCTCTTGCACAGTTGTCTGTTAACTATATGCATGTTCTTTTTCTTCTTCTGTTCTTAATCCCTTCCTCACTTTGGCACCATTTTTTTGTTTTCCCCTTGATGCCAGGAGGAGATTCCCAGTTGAGTTTGTCCCTTAGAAATCTCACGACTCTCAGAAATCTCTCTAGCTGTGGGAGAAGGATGACCACTTTCAGCTCCTGAAGTTCCACTGGCTGCATGAGAATCTCAATATATCAATATACATATATAGTATATAATCTCAATATATCTATATTATATATATATACAAAAGCCATCACATTTTTGTGTTTGCAAGGAAGAACTTGAGAATATAAAAGTTGAAATTTCTGTGGTCAATCAAGAACTGTCGGCAGTCTGTTTTAAAATACTAAAAAATAGAAAAAGTATCTGGAATGATTGTGCTTTTTGGTGTTCAGTGTTGGCAGCACACTTTTCTGCTTGTATTTACTGTGTGGAGTATTTTTGTGCAGCTCCTGGGTTCATTAGAAATGTCTTTAACACACATGTAAAGAACAGATGCCAGCTCAGAGTAACCCCTGTGGGAGCTGCCAGCATCCGTGGTGGCAATGTAAGAGGAGAGAGGAGCTGCCTGGATAAACAGATACTCTGTCAAGAACCCGAGGCACAGACAGGCTCTGGAGTGATGAATGTTTAATTTAACATTTCATCTGCTCCTACCCACGGTACGTGAACGGCTCAGAGTGTACAGCCCGCACCCAAACTGGTGGGATTTCTAACCTGGTTTTGTTGGCCTGCAGTGACACACTGGTGTGCATTAAAGATGGCACATGACACTTTGCTCAAATGTGTCACCATTATTAATGATGTCAGCAGATGTAATTGCCAAGTTACTTAATACACTCAGAGTGCCATTGAGCCATTCACCTTGGAACCAAATAACTCTTACTTCATCTTATATACCTTAAAATGCAGATCTTCCCCTCCACAGTGATGCAGTAGTATTTATCAGAAGCATTATCCTCAAGCGACATCTCTGTGTGCTCCCAACAACTCCAGACCTGTAGTATGATAGAGACATTTCACCTTAGAGATTAAAATCCCCAAATTCCTCAAACTTGCAAAGCTTAAATATGTCCAACTTCAATGCAGCATTACAATCTTGGAGTTTTCTAACCACAATGGTTAGTCCTTATATAGCAATTTTAATAAAGGGAGCTCCAATTAAATCATAAAATTAATCCTGTATATAAAGGTTAGAAACCTGAAGCATTTGTTGTTAGTTCTTTATCACAACCTGGTGACAGGTTCAGAAGAACCCCTGTGTTTGTCCTGGGCTGCTGCTCTGTTCTCTCATCACTGCTGGCAAAGGGGAATAAAACTGTGAGAGAGAAGGCTGGGGAAGACAGATTTGTGTTTTAAGGCAGCTTGAAACATCTCACTGTAGTGAATGGAATTATGTCTTCCTGTCATTCACTGTGAAGCAGACACTTCTGACATGGTGTCAAGAGCCCAGGAGAAATTTGTGGAGATCGGGAGTACTTCACTGTTAGCTCAGCATTGGAGAAATCCACCCCTCAAGCACCTACCACTCTGTTCTCACCTTTGTAAGTTCACGAGTGTGATGTAATTGTCCTGGATTCAAACTCGTAAAATAGAGCAGAACTACATGATGACTGCCACTTTTGAAGTGATAAATGATAGTTTGAGGACAGAATCAGTGAAACTCATTCTTAGAGTCAGCCAGTATCCTGAGGTATCAGGGTTACAGAATAATGTGATATTTGGGTAAGCATCACTGTTACCTTATATTTAAAGAAAATTTAATATTTTCCTCATAAAGAAAGCTGTTTGGTTAGGTTAGAAGCACATTAAGTTGTCATATACACACTATCATTTAGTAATGATACATTTTACAAGCTAAAATTTTATTCAGGCCCTCTTTCCTTTCCCCTCAGGTATTGTCATTCCCCCTTTCCACTTTTCTAAATCCATCCATTTAAAGCTCCATTTTGTGGAGTCTGCTTCCTGTCACATCTTCAGCATATTTTCACTTGTCTCAGAGCTCCTCCTGAGCCATGTGTTTGTAGCCCAGATCTGCAGACAAATGTGTGGTTTGAGGGAGAAGATAAAAGCTGAAGGGGTCGATGGTGCCCAGTGCAGGTTGGGCACTCACCTGGGTGAGTGTTGATGTTTCTCTTGAAACAATTGCTCAGCATTCCCTGCCTTGCACAGGGGTTTCCCCAGCTTATGATCTGCTCTTTCAACACACAAAATCCCTCTTCCATTTCTTCTCACTGCTGCACTGGTATTTTTTGTACTTTTCCCTAGAACAGCTTTCCTGACTCTGCATCTGAGGGAGTATTTTAAGGTGCTAATTCCAGTGTTGGGTGCCCAGGAGAGCCTGGACTGTTGGGACACAGCCGTGCCCAGTGTCTGTACCAGGGACCTGAGCGGGTCACAGCAGCCTGACAGGAACAAACTCAGGGGCTGACCTGAGTAAGTCATTGTAGAGCTCTCCTGTGGAGACCTTTGCAGCAGCTTAAATCTGTGATTTAGCTGGCATCAGCAACTCTTAAAGGTTTTATAGCTGACTGTCATGGAAACCTCCTGAAAAAGAAAATTAATACTTACAAAGCAGTACCACAACATAAAAGTTGCATTAAATGCTCTTATTGATTTTTCCCTTCCATATTCTTGATTGCATAATAGAAGAATCCCTATTTTTGTTTGCTATTGTCTTTGTGAAAATCAATGTGTTTGTAACATGTAGCCTTGACAGAGAGCATTTCTTCAGACCTAACAAAACTACAATGAAGGAGCCTTTTTCCTTGCCCCAGAGATGTCTTAAGATGTTTTACAGCTGCAGATTGGGTGTCTCGTTGTAGCCTCTCCATGGCTTTAACAGGGTGCAGGCAACTATTGGATCATTCCAGATAACTCAGGCTTCACAGATCAACTCCTTTCTCTGGAGTCTGCTATGTTCTGTCCCTAATATAACCACAATTTTAATTTTGTCCATTTAAAAAGTTTATTTAAAGTTGCAAACTTAAAATCAGATTGTCAATTCGTCCTTACTTTGTGTGATTTTTACCTCGTTTAAAAGCAGAACAAGAAGTTTTTTCCCAAGATGAGAATGTTTCCATCTCATTTAAGCACGGATTGTGGTTAATTACAGATCTGCTGAAAACACCATTCCTTTTTTGCAGTTTTTTTGCAGGAGAGTTTCAAAAGAGAGGCAGTGATGTTTCTCCCTGCAGCACACAGATGTGAGAAGGGCAGGTCCCGCCTGCACACGACTGTCCTGATGCTCACAGCACCCTATGGCTTTTGCTTCCTTGGGACAGAGGGTGAGAAAACACTGATATTTCTTTCCTAAATTCGATCCACAATTTGGTTTTCTCTCCAAGTCCTGAAGCTTCAGTTATCTGAGTTTTCCATTTCCTATCACCTGTGCTGCTTTAGCAAATAGGGGGAGCAGGAGCAGAGGCAGAGCGGGAGCAGCAAGGCTGGAGCAGGAGAGCAGGGTAGCTTTCCCTGTCCTGCAGGAATTGCTTCGGCTGTTCTGTATCTTTAAGGGGCTGACCCTATCCCACGGGAGCCGCTATAAAGGCAGGTAGGCAGCAGTGCCCTGCTCGGGGAGCTGGAGCCAAGCAGGGGCAGCTCCCAAAAATGACTGGCCACCACAGTTGGGGATATGGGCAGGCTGACGGTAGGTTATGGCATTTCCGTGCTGCATCTCTCTGTCTTCCCCCACTCGTTTTCTTTCTAGAGCTGTTGCCTGAGCCCTGCAGAGCTGCCTGCATTTTGATGTCTGCAAGAATCGAGTATATACAGCAGGTAATTAATTACTTTATTGATAATCAATAGCACCCAGAAAGTGGCACCAAAAGGTGCGTGAGTTTCCATCTGCTGCCTTTCGGTGTTGTGATCAACATTCCTAAACTGAGGGAAACAGTTTGAATGCTTTGGGTTTTTTTCAGACTGCAGATATTATAGATGGGTCCCTTTCCAAAATGCTGTTATAAAAAAGATTACCTGTCTCTCTCCAAAAGCGATTCTGTTAGGTAAAGAAGATTTAGTAGAGCAGTAATAGATCTCCTGATTCTGTGCAGCTGCTGAAATGTGATATCTAGGCTTTCATAAAAGCAAATAAAATAAGCTATATTTTATGTATGTCTGGTACATCAATAAATTGTACAGATCAGTATCAGATCTCTTACAGAACAACTTATGCTTTCTGATTTGACAGTTTTTAATTTAGTCCTCCTCCTTTGCTTCCCACCTCCAAGGATGCGTGTCACAGCGTGAGGGGGGATGTGGAGCTCCTGAAGGATTGCCACAGGAGTGTTCTGTAGTGCCTGTATCCTTTACAGAGAGGATGGACGAGTGGCTGATGCTGGCCAATGAGACAATTGCATAACTTCAGGAGTCTTTCTCCTTGCAGCAGTTATTTTAGCTGCTGAGTGTCCAACAAGAGTCTTTTGTATAACCTTCAGGGGCCAGCCTCTTTCTTAACAGCAATTCCTTTAGTTTCTGTAAGTCTGAAAGCAAGTTTGAGTACCAAGTGAACCTGGTTAGTGCTAGTAGGTAATATTATGTATTTGTGCTTGTAGCTAGGAGTAATAAAGCCATGTGTACTCTTATGAAGCTTGTGACAGCCAAATGATACTGCCTTAGCTTGTGTAAGAGCATTTAATTCCTAAATCTGCTTTACAGGCAGGCTGAGAAAAGATAATATTTTATAAGCTTAGCTTTGCAGAAAGTGTCAAAGCCAAGTAACAGTGTAATAGATCACTGTTGTGTTATGTAAACTCGAGGAGGCTAAATACCTGTGCTTGATTTAAAAAAAGCTTCCCCTTGTGAAAGTATGCAAGAATGCTACAATTAAAAATGTGCTTCTTGAGAATCCCAGAGTACAATTGTTACTGTTACACTTCATGTACAGAAGCAGCAGAGGAATTTAATTGCTGCTTTCACTACCAAAGCAAAGTAGAAAAATGAACCATAAGAAAAATGAATTCTTTGACATGAATAAGCTTTTGTTATCTCAAATGGCTTAAAAATCTTCCAGCTCTGGCAGCAGAGTTCTATTAAATTGGGCTTTCTCTCTGTTGAGGTCTGGAAGTCCCAAAGTGTTAATTATCATCCTGTGTCCTTCACTCAGGTTAGAGAGATACCATAATGGGCATGAGTGAAGAATGGAGCTGTCTCAAAGATTTACTGCAGTCATAAAATGATTTTAAAAATAACTGCATAGTCAGTAGCTAAGAGATTGAGTCATCTGCATCTAATTTGAATTGCTGGAGCTTTTACACTCTCTTTCCCAGGGAGAATTAAATGCTGTTTCTTTGGGGAGTGTGTTTGTGCATGTGAGTGTTTACACCTGTACCCACCTCAGAACACCTTAGCAAGGTAACTGCAGCCTCTGCAGAGAGTGGCACAAGTGCCTGGGGATACAGCAGTCTGTTGGTGTGCCAGGATCTCCACGATGTGCTCTGGACAAGATACTCGAATCCCCATCTTGTTGCAGTCTGCTTGTGCTAATAGAAACACACCAGCCTAGAATTTAAATTAATTTTCTCATATTCCAAACATTGGAGTCACTCTTGCTGAGCAAGCTCTATTCCAAACTTCATGAAAACCCATAATGACCATTCTGTGTATGGTAGGAAGGAAATAATGCTGCTTTCCTTTGTTTGCTGTTGAAGGCCCTTCTGAGTGGCACAAAGCTTACCCCATTGCCCAGGGGAACCGCCAGTCCCCCATCGACATCGACTCTGCACGGGCAGTCTACGACCCCAGCCTGCAGCCACTTGTCATCTCCTATGAGTCCTGCACCTCCCTCAGCATCTCCAACACCGGCCACTCCGTCATGGTGGAGTTTGAGGACACAGATGACAGGACAGGTGAGACCAGCACAGCCAGATAACTCCCAGCACCAGTTTGGGACTTAGCGGGAGAGATAATTAAGTACGTGCTGTATGGTGTAACTCGTGTGATGTATAATTGCAGCTTAGAACAAGGCATCTGACTGGAGCTGTTTATATTTTGTTCTCATTTTGAGCCTCTCTAGCAATGCAATGTCACAGATCAATAAGTGTTTCTTCATGGAAAGAAGGAAAAGCTCTTGCATCAGAAAAATGAAAAGTTTGATTGCAGTCCTTTTCTTTTAGATGAGAATTGAGGTTTGCTGGGCATCTCTCCAGCACTGCCAGATGACATCCAGCAGCCAGAGCAGGGATGTAAGCTCCTCAGTTCCCTGGTTCATGATCACCCCAATCAAAGATGCCAGCTCTGGCTAAGTGCCCAGCTCCCACCCACAGGGAAGGGAAGAGGATAAGCAGAGCTGGGTCATGCAGCACAGTCATCATAATCATAATCACTGCACCAAGTTGTACCTGGACTGGTCATTGTTACCTTGCATTTTCTTCCTTCCTCCCTGACTTGTAGCACTATGGTTTCTTCAGAAATTAGAAAATCTTTAGCTCAGTCTGGGCTCTGAGTTGGTAGCAGCCAATTTTGGATGTTGGACTGTCCGCAGTTGTACCTTATCTCAGCCCTTGGCACAGAATGTAAATCCTTTAAGTGATGGATTATTTCTTCTGTTAGCTCACTTTCCATGATAGACTGTGCTTTTACATCTGGAGCTAGGGGAAGAGCATTCAAATGGAGCTGATAAATGGGAAGAGTGCATTAAAAAAACAAAACCAAACAGGAACAATTTTTACACCCATCAGCTGATTTCATCCTCCTTTTGGGTGTGCTGATTGATGCAAGCTAAATAGGATACTTTGATATTGAAAACAAATTACTTCTTCTGTGAAGTGGCTTGTCTGTGCTGGGAACCCTTTGAAATAAGGGCTAGAGGTTAATATTCCAGCTTTTTTGTTTTAAAATTTCCCTTCTGGATAATTTAAGAACCTGCCCAAAGGGATGGCCAGGTTTTCAAGCATCATATCTTTACTGAATTTGCAAAGAAGACTGGGTGAGCATTTTCCATTTTTACTGCACAGATCTTTTCAGAATGTCACCCTATAAATAGAATTTGTAAAACCTAAGTATTATCTTAGCTTGGTAACTACTTTAATGCAATTTTCAGCTGAACTGTATCTGTGTAACAGTGAACTTTATTCAGCTTTAGAAGTTTAAGAACATCTAATACTCTGAATTTAGAGATACCGACTCAGAGCGCCTGCCAGGAATGAGACCCTTTCTACACTAAGCATGTCTTGTTTCAATAGCACTTTTTCAAGGAAGATGACTGTTAGGAGTGGAAAACATGGTTTAAACTGCTTTTAGTTGTGTTGAAATAGATCTAGTGACTCAAAGCTCTGCATAAATGACACAACAGAATTTTGACAGTAATCCATAATAGCTAAATTTCTTAAAATATTTGGGACAGGTGATGCATTCTTTTGCTAACTTTAGAAAAACGTACTAGAAGAATTTATATCCTTAATTGATACTAAAACCTTTGCCTTGGCAATGCAAATTTTCTGCATAAAGGCCAGCTGGAAGCATGCACATGTAGTAGCACTGTGCAAGCCCCAGCTTTCACTTTTTAAATAAAATGTTATGAACTTCCCTGAGGATACAAGCTTTACAGATATTAAATGTAATTTTAATTTTCTTAATGTAAGACTCTGATCAGGTTTTGGTGTCTGTTGGGCAAAGTATTAGATTTGGTGGCATATAAAATTACAGGGATTACTGATGCTGTTGATAAAATACCTTCTATAGGTGGCATCTTAAACATTCATCTGTGCTTAGGTGTTATTTCTAAATGATGTATGAAGTGTCTCTGTGGCATTTCCTTACCTTCAGAAGGTGATTTAAGGTTGAGTGGTGTCGTGTGAAGTACCAGCTATTATATTTCCTCTTTTATGGGATCAGGTATTTAAAGGAAATGGAATAAAGATAACCTCCACTGGAAGTAAAGATACTGTAAGAAGGAAATACTTAGCTGAATTGTCTACCTGATGTTCAGGGTATAAGGTTTCCTTGGAGGCTTCTCCTGTCCAGGCTGAACCATCCCAGCTGTAGCAGCCTTTCCTGCCAGCAGAGCTGCTCCATCCCTCTGCTCATCCTGGAGCCTCCTCTGGGCTCTCTGCAGCAGCTCCAGCTCCTTGCTGTGCTGGGCCCAGGCTGGGGCAGCTCTGCAGGTGGGGTCTCACCTGAGGCCCAGAGGGGCACAATCCCCTCCCCTGCTGCCCTCGCTGGCTCAGCTTGGGGCTCAGGGGGGTTTCAGGGCTGAGGCAGGGCCAGCTCTCACTCACAGCACCCCCAAGTGCTGCTCCCAGGGCTGCTCCATCTGTTCCACTTGTATTTAATGTGTTTAACAGGAAA